GTCACTTTCTTTGTCAGATTCACTCTTAACAGTCGATACAAATGCCATATAGTTTCCTTCGTCCTCACTACTAGAAGATTCCTACCTATCACTGGTCTCAGATTCATTATCTGTAAGTGAGACAACTAAGGCCTTGCCTTTCCCTTTTCTTTGGTTCTTCTTATAACTAGGGCATTCATTCCTATAGTGACCTATTCCTTGACACTCATGGCACCTAACCAAACGAGGCTTATCACTAGACCCTTTATTGGTAAACTTTTCAATTTTTTCTTTTGAAAAACTGCTAGGGGCTCCACTTTTTCTATCCTGAGGCTTTCTCCTATTCTTGAGAACTTTTTGAAATCTCTTAACAAAGTAAGCAATTTCATCGTCCCTATGTGACTCAGTATTAGAAGATTCATCCTCTTTGATGGATTTTAAGGTTATGGACTTTCCTTTCTTAGGTTGTGTAACAGTGAGTTCATAAGTTTGCAGGGATCCTACCAGTTCTTCAATTTTAACTTCATCTAGGTCCTTACTTTCCTCAATGGCAGTGACTTTAGGCCTAAATCTCTTGGGCAGGGACCTAAGCACTTTTCTCACAATTTTAGACTCGAGAATTCTCTCATCTAGATTGAAGCTAGAATTAACAATGTCATTCAATTTAGCATAGAATTCGTTAAACGTTTCATCATCCTTCATTCTCACTTCTTCAAACCTAGATGCTAGCATTTGTAACTTAGAATTCTTTACCGTTTTAGTTCCCTCATGTGTAGTTTCAAGAATGTCCCAAATCTCTTTAGCAGTTTCACACATTGACACTCTCCTAAACTCTTCGGAAGACACGGCCATAAACAGGGTATGAAGACCCTTGCTATTCCAATTACACTCAGCTATTTCATCCTTAGTCCACAGTGATATGTCAGTTAGATTAATAGTTCCAGAAACAGTAGTGGAGGGAGGTTTCCAACCATTTTGCACGCTTACCCAAACATGCTCATCTAAAGACTTAAGAAAATCACGCATTCTAACCTTCCAATAAGCATAATTACTTCCATCAAAAAATGGAGGTACAGACAGTGATTGACTCATCTAGACAACTATGCGTCAGGACTCGAGATTTGGCTCTGATACCACTTGAAAAAGCTATAGTTCGACCCAACCAACACTTAGAGGGGGGTGAATAGGTGTTTATGCGAAATTAAGGAAATTAATTAACTTATGCAACAAGTCACATAAATTATGCATTGTCCAGATTCATTCACATACTTTACCTACCTAAGTTGAATTACCGGTTGAAAAGTAAATAAAAAAATCAGTAAAAACGCCACAAAATGTTGACGGAGAAAACCCATCTGGGTAAAAACTCCGGGCACAAGTCAGTAGAGATCCACTATAGAAGATATTGACTTACAGTACGCCAGACATTATTGATTCTAACAATACTCTGACCTCTTTACTGTATCGACCATAGCTATCCTGAATTTTGCAGATCTGCGCCAAAATCCCAGCCTTGAATATCTTCTACCTCTCGTGAATCACCAAGCACTCCAGCTCTTCAAGCAATTCCCTTCCCGGATCTTCAAACTGATGATCTTCTGGAAGTTGATATGGAGATATGAAAGGGTGTTTTGGTTTTGAGAGGGTTGATGTTTTTATTCAAAGTACCATAAGAATTAAAAGATGAAAGGAATGAATATTAGGTTTTTAATCCTTTGGAAGTTGAGAGAAATTCCTGTTTGAATGTTTGCCAAAGGTCTTTAACGAAAATTGGACGTTTTGTTTATATAGTAGGTTGAATTTGGTAATATGGAACGTTAAAAATTCGTGAGGCATTAAAATTACCAAAGGCCAGATAACATCATCGCTCGAGCGAGGTGCTGGCGAAACTCAAGTGACGCACCTTCGCTTGAGCGATAGCTCAGCGAAACTGTAGCGACGTCTGTACTGCAATTTAGGCTCGAGAGAGGTCAGGGCGAAACTCTAGCAAAATCAACGCGCCGTTTGCATCTTCAAAGCATCCCACTTTACCCTAGACCTATGTTATGAACTTTGCTAAATTGTAACTTTAGTCCCCGAACATTAGACCTTTACAATTTGGTCCTTGACTTTACAATTTTGACAAATAGGTCCTTTGGTCACAGATTGCCAATTACACTTTTCCTAACAAAAGGCATTAAGGCAAAGAAGCTCCACATAGTCCGAAGCCCGTTACAGCAAGTGACGACCCACACGAAGAAGATCCTAAACTTATGTATGAAATCTTCTTGAAATGATTGATGGGACCTTTATAGTAAGTGCAAGTGTCAAATATTGTTAGTAGGGTGGCTGCTCAGTGTAAACATTAAATGCGCAATAGGCTAATGAGTCCAAATCGATGCTAAGGATTAAATGCTTCTCTAAGGAGATGAAGCCATGTATACTTTCATCCAAGAGCTACCTTTTTGTTAGTAATACTATAAATACTCTCTCCATGCAACGTTTGAAGGCTAATGCAACTCTAGATACTAAAAGCCACTTTTGTCTTCTCTTT